TTTTTTGCTATACTGAAGCATTCATGTTAACTTATGAATTGATGACCTATGCATAATTAAAATCTTAAAGACAGAATAAATGAACTATCTTGATTATTGTTGAGTGATAGAATCTTTTCATTTCCACAGTCTAGTGATATCCTGAATTCTCTTTATTTTTTTTCCTGTTCCATCTTCAGAACAATTCAATCTGTTAAAAAATTACTATCATGGGCTGGAATTGTGGCTCAGTGGTAGAGAGCTTGCCTAGCATGTGTGAGGCACTGGGTTCGATTCTCAGAACCACATTTAAATAAGTAAATAAAATAAAAAGGTCCATAAACAACTAACAAAAATATTTTTTAAAATAATAATTATCATGGCATAGATACATTCCTATCAAATCAACAATTGCTATCATTAAAATGCCTGTCACATTTTAAAAAATGCATTGAATCAGATTGAGGTACAAAGTATTATGGACAATAAAAGGTACACATCACGATTCTGCCTTCAGAGACTAGAGCCATGAAGTGCTTAGTGCAGTGCCTGACATATGGGCAAATCCAATTTAAGTATTTGCTATTATTATCAGTTGTGTGCTAATCAAAAAGATGAGAACAAAACACCACTCAGAGTTATAGAGTTTGCCTATTCTTGCCATAGCCTGTTTCAGTTTACCTGCCTGTACACTGCCTGAACACTGAACAGAGTTTTCCTACACCTAACATCCAGTTTTGCATACTGTTAGACTTGCTTCAGGTCATGGCACTTAAAGTCTCGGGTAAGAGGAATTTCTCACCCTTTGATGAGAAATTGATGATCACTGTAAGATATGATCAGATGCCTTCCTGAGAAAAAGTGTCCCTGTCCATCAGGGCTGTCACCAGGGGCATCCAGGGCTGTTACCTACTTTGTGGAGGGAACATTTCCATTAACAGGAGATAATGCAGCAATGTGCAAGAAGCAGAGAAAGACAGTATTGAGAAAAGCAGAAGAATCTGTACCTTGAAACCTCTATTCTAGTCCTAAAGTCTTGGTTCTTACAGCTTATTCTTGGACCATGCCAGTCACCTAAGAAGCCTCCAGGGCTCAGGCCCTCCATCACTTCCTCCCACAGCCTGAATTGCCACTTGCTTCCTTAGTCTCACATGACTAATAAGAACAGAATGCACACACCATGCAGTAAGTACAAATTGGTGCCTTGTGGGCCACAGGTAGCCCACAAATCATGTGTGGTTCCCACCTAAGGTTGCCAAGTAAAATAAAGAATACCTAGGTAAATCTGATTTTCAGATGAACAGCAAATAGCTCCCTCCATAAGAATGTCCCATTTACTATTTGGGACATTCAAATGTTCTCATCATTTGAAATTTGAATTTAACTGGGTATCTTAGATTTTTCTTTGACAAATCTGGCAACTCAGCAATGCTGTTGTGTGTGTGCATGACGCGGGGGAGGTAGCATTTGAACACTTTTCAAACAAGTTCAAATTTCTAGCTTGCCCCAAAACCTTAAAAAAAAGAAGACCTGGCAAGATTGAGCCCCTCTTGGTTAATACCAGCAGGAGTCAAGTGCAGCTGCTCCTTCAGGAGGGGCACACACTTTACTGGCTGCCTGAGACACCTTCCCCCTCACATTTTGGTGAACTGCCTGGTATTAGACCTCTGTGTGCAAATCCAAGATATAGGTGTGATCCATCATCTCTCCTGGGATGTCTTCCCTGAGGCGCCAGGTAAAGAGATACACTCATGACTGCATTTGCACAATACTCTGCACTTGCTAAATGCCTAGGAGACTTCAGGAAGAGGCTCTGCAGCTCCCTAACACCAGACCACTGCTGACTTCTGCAACCCTCACCTTTTAAACAGCACCTAGCAGTTCGTGCTATTGCTCCTCTCTAGGTCTTTGCCTTGGTTGTACTTCCTCCACCTGAAGTACTTCTCTC